GCTACAGGAAAAATGGACTTTTTCTTATTCTTCAAACATACTTTGTACTTTCCCATTTTCATAACTAACCCTATTTTCATAACTCTGGTGGCTCTACCAGAGAATCCACTCCTTCCCTTTATCCATTTCTAGATCCACATCCTTGGCTCATGGCCCCCTCCTCCATCTCCAAGTTCAGCAAGTAGCATCTTCAGATCTCTTTCTGCTTCTGTTAAATGACCTTCTCCTCTGCATCAAATTACCCTCTACCTCTTAGAAGGACATGAGATTACATTTAGGGCCATATGGCTAATCAAGGATAATCTCTCTGTCCCAAAATCCTTGATTATATCTTTTGTCATAGAAAGTGATATTCACTTCTTTTGTCATATTCATAAGTTTTGGGGGCTTTGGATATGGATATCTTTAGGGTGACATTATTAGCTGACCACAGAAAGTTTAATGTAACAGCCTTCACTAGTGCTGTTAGTTATTTTTATCATTAAATTGGATGGTACTAATGAGTTCTCTGATCATTACAAGGCTATGTAACTTAAAAACTAATAATAATTCATTATGTGACTTTTTTATTTAAAAAAAAGTAATAAGGTACTGAGTGGTTTGTAAAGTACTTTCCTTTATTTAACCTTTCCGATATTTAACCTTCAGGACAACTCAGTGAAGCTGATATTGTTTTCATTATTGTTGCAAACCAAAGTGAGATTTATAAAAGCTGCAGGACAGTTCTCCAAGGCTGACTTCTCCCCTTGACCCTCTAGACCCACCAGTACTTGATTCTCTTCTGGGCATCTTTCCTACTTCTAAAGTACCCCACTCTGTTAAAACCTTGTAAGTCACACTCATTTTAAGTGTTTTTTTTTTTTTTTTAATATAACCATTCAAGGCAACATTCAGAACACTCATACATGCTGAGTCTTCATCTAACAAAGTTTCCCCATTGGCAACATCTAAAGAGCGTCAGTTTCTGTGGGGTCTGACCCTCTGCAGCCTCTGCCCCTGATAGCCCACTGGGGTCAGCCTTCTAACCTGGCCTTCACAGAGAGTTCTTTTTCTAAGCCTTACTTCATAAACTTTTTCTTGGGAAGAAGTGACTACCTTACTACTAGCTAATGTGGTGGAAAAAGGCTGCCCCCTCCTCTCCTCACTTTCATTCACAGGTAGATTTAAGTTTTCCTGACAGGTAAGATTCCTCAGGTAGAATATGCTGTACTATGGCATACTCTGCAATCTGGTTCCTGCCTGGTCTTCCACCTCACCCCACACAGAACTGTGTCTTTATGCATACCATTCCCTCTAATTGGAAAATTGGCTCTCACCCTTTTTCTTAGTTTGTTTTCTGTTTCTATGACAAAATATCTGAGATTAGGTAATTTATAAAGAATAGAGGTTTATTTGACTCATGGTTATGGAGGCTGGCACTGACATCTGGTGAAGGTCTTCTTGCTGAGGGTATGACATGGGTGAGATACAGCAAATGTACTAACTCAGGCCTCTCTTTCTCCTCTTATAAAGCTACTAATGCCACCATTGGTATCCTATCCTAGACTTCATCTAATCCTAATTACCTCCCAAACACCCACCTCCAAATACTACTACTATATAAATGTGGGGATTGAGTTTCCAACACATGACCTTTTGAGGAACACATTCAAGCCATTGCACCCCTCCTTTATCTGCCCCAAAACACCCACTCTTCCTTCAGGGCTTAGCTTGAGGAATAGTCTACTCATCTTTGATTCTCCTACTGAAAGCCAGGAACATAGTCTGTGCCTAATAAATGTTTGATGAATTTAATAAAACCTTCTCTCTGAGAAGCCTTTTTTTCCCCACCAAAACTATTAGCATTTTGTAATAAAAGCAATATATCCACAGATTAGAAATGCAATCTTTTTTTCCAATAAGCATTAATATAGTACCTCTAATATTATAGAATAAGATAGTCGATAACCAAATAGACTCGAGTTGAAAATATAAGAAGTAGATGGACACCGTAAAATTGAAAATAAATAACTCAACCATTTACTCCCAATAGAAGTAAATATTTTATTTAAGTAGTATGTAATTTTTATCTCCTAAGACTTAAGAAAAATAGGAGATTATATCCTAAAATTTTTCAAGTAAAAATAAAGAAAGTTAAGGCATATTTAAAAACAGATCACAAGAACTTCCTGTGTCCTGAACTATTTGTGTATGCTTCAATGTTATAAGAGAATGTAATGTGAATTGCCTCTAAAATTTCAGTATCATTAAGAAGGTACTGAAAAGAGATTTTGAAAAGAGATGGCAAAGACTTACACTGGAAAAGGAAGTATAAGGAAAGATGTGATTTTATTTGTTTAATTATGCAAGAATAAGAGGAAATACTTATTGAAAGAATAAAAAATAAGAAAAGGAAGGACATTATCTCAAAACCTCTGGAGATGAATTATAATCATTTCCAAATAGGATGATAACCTAGAAGAAATATTATCTCAGTGATAGTATGCATAGAGGAAAAAAGCCAGGAGGTTTTTCTTTGTCACTGACAGAGATTTTCTGTAAAATAGAAGACAGATGACAAACACATAAAGATGTAATGGGCTGTTTCCTAAGAGAATGTTCTTTAGGGTCTCTGTGGGAGAAAGGATCTTACAACCGATTTTCCAATTTGAGTTTTTTTTCAAAGTTTAGCTCTATTTAAAAAAAAATATGCCCTCCCTCATGTTCAAAGAATCACAAGAAATGTATAATCGTTTTTTTTTTCAAATAGGCCTTCTGGAGTAAAGTAGCTGCTTCTCCTAAGGCCAACTCATGTCACCAAAACCTGATGGTGGACAGGCTCTTTCTTAGAAAAAGACAAAGGAAAACATCACCACTCCTTCTGAGCCTGTCATAAGTAAGATAGAGAGTACGTTTGTGCACAGGTGACTGGCAACATCCTCTAACCCTGTACCATGATTCTGCTATGGTGCCCATGCTAAATAGAACTGCTCAACTGAAACAGTGTCCCCTGAGAGCACAGGTAACCTCTTCTCAGCCAGCAAGCTGTGCTCAGGGTAAAACTGTACCAGAGTCACAGAAGGGTGTCTGTAATGGTTATCAGGCTCAAAAATTAATGTCATTTGTAGCAGAATCTGGATCAATATCCCTGAGCAGAGTAGGAACTATACTTTGCTTTTTAGATTTATTTTTTTAAATGTATCTAAGGACTCTGGCAAATGAGCCTCCACCAACCTGGAAGATGAGCCAGGAAGCTGAACCCCATTTTTCCCTAAAGTTTAAGGGTATTATAGGACATGTAAAATGAGAGTCACTGAGAATATATAAAGAATACAGAGTCATTCTAGGAAAGCATCATTGGCCCTAAGAGACCCAACTCTTTAAGATCTAGAATAGATGCCTCATAAATGGGACAGGCTGGGAAAGACTTGTGCTGTCCTATATTAGACAGTAAAAGTCTTCTGTATGTTCCTGTGGAACACTGGCCTAGATTCTGCTTTGTCTGACCATATCTGACATCTGTCTGATTATCAGGCCCGCACTAGTCTGGAACACATATCTTTCCCTGATATCTATTCCTCCATCCATTGATGATCTATCTGCCTGATCCATTCTTGCTTTGGCTTTACCCAACATTTCATCCTGATCTTTGTTTCTTAGGCTTCCCAATGCCATGTTCTCTTCAACCCGATCTTGTCAGCTCATATCTCCTGCAGGAACTAGCAACAACCACAAAAACAAAATGACCTTTTGCTCCAACTAGCCAAAGAGGACAGCTGAAGACAGCTAAACTTTGCTCTGTGCAATATGGAGAGTAGAAAGCCATCACATTCCTCTCCACACAGCTTCCTGCTTTGCCATTACTTGGACACAGCATGCCCTTGAATACCCTACCTAGTATTTTCCTTCATGATGTCTTCTATTCAAAAAAAGTCTCTTTTCACTTATCAGAGAGAAAATTTGGCCTTTGCTTCTTGGGGATTGGCTTACTTGGTTTAGCATAATATTCTCCAACTCCATCCATTTACCTGCGAATGCAAAGGTGGATACTGAACCAAAATGGGGGTTGGGAATGGAGGAACTTTGGGCAAAGGGGAGGGTGAGGAGGGAAGGAGCATCGGGGCAGGAAAGATGGTAGAATGAGGTGGACATCATTACCCTAAGTACATGAATGACTACACATATGGTGTGACACTACAACACGTACAACCAGAGAAATGAAAAGTTGTGTTCCATTTGTGTACAATGAAGCAAAATGCATTGTGCTGGCATATATACCTAGTTAGAACAAATAAATAAAAAAGAAAATCTTGTTAAAAAAAAAAAGAAAGAAAGAAAAAAGTCTCTTTCCATCTACTTCCCCTTCAGGGCTCCCTCTCCGCTTCTATTCCCGTCACTCATTAAGTCAGTATTGGGGCATGTGGAGTTTATGTATTCCCTAATACAAACAGAGTTATTGGAGATTTTCAAGTTGGTTACCATGAAGTCAGATAGAATACCAACTTTTTTGCCTTCTAGCCATGGTAATATATTTATAAAATTTCCCTGATACTCATTTTCCTTTAAATCTCTAAAATGCTAGTAATAGCTGTCTCATAGATATTTTTCATAAAGATTATAAAAGATGATGTGTATGAGGCATTTAAAACATACTTGTCTCATAGCGAGCATTTAGTAGAGTAATAATATGGTACCAAGTCTAGACCCTAAGACAGAAGGGTCTTCTGTCTTATATACCTGTCAGGCTCAAATCTTAACATAGTATTTGGTACATGGTAGGCACTAAAAAACTATTTGATTAATTAATTAAGTAATGAAAGGCAGGGTGTATTTAGCCTTCTTCTTTTCCCACCTAGTCCCTAATAATAATAATAACAACAACCTCAACAACAACAACATCATAAACCCAAAGTTCCATTAGGCACAGTATCACTATCTAGTACACCAGGAGAGGTCAGCCATAATTTTTTAAAAAAAGTTCTCAGGGGGTATATGATAAGGTTAAATTTGGGAAAAGAACAATGCTCCAGGAGTACTTTGGACATGTGGACAGGCTGATAATTGGCCTGTGAAACGTGCTCCCACTGATCCAGTACTTACCCAACAAAGGCTCACCAGGTGAGCATGCAGACTTCTGCTACAGGTGCAGGAGAAAGGTGCTGGGACTCCCTCTGCCAGTTGTCTCCCTCACCCCAGAAGCCATTTGTGTCAGTTAAGAATTGGGTTCATCTGCAAGTAACAGAAATCTGCTTACCATGGTTTAAACATGTAATACTTTGTTATCATCAATTAATGAGAAATCTGAGCGTAGCAGCTACTGTCATAGGCTAAGCAGCTCAAAGATTTCAGGGCCAATGTCTCTGTGAGCCCTTCAGCCTTTTCCTCAGAGTCCCAGCATGCAAATATCATTATCATATTTCAGGCATGAAGAAGGAATGAAGAGAAGGGAAAAGCCATAGAGTATAGTATGTATATCAAGAAAACAAAAGTGTTTCCAAGAAATCTTACGCTTCAGTTTATGCATCATTGGTCAAAATTTTTATCACACTCCCACAGATATAAGAGAGATTTGGAAATGTGCAGACATGGAATGAAACAAAACAACTACAGAGAACAGTGACCATAGAAAAATGGGAAATGGACATAGGGAAGGAACCAGCATACTCTGCCTAGCATTGACTGGAGACTGGAGCGAATAGATTCTAATGGAGATCTTCATTTTTAATCACATCCTCAACCAAACTGTTAGAAAATATGAAATCTTTCAACAACTGTCTAAAATTCAATTGTCCTTTAGTCTCTTGCATTGGAGAGCTACCCCTGCTATTGGGTCAGTGGCAGCTGTTCACCTTGGAGAATGATGATGTTTATATGACAGTAAGGTCCATCTCATCCCCAGCCAAGAAAGGCTGCTTTTCTCCCCTCAGAAGAAGGCATCTCCTAACAAAAGAATAAGCTGGATCCATATCTTTTTCATTAGCTTACATATCAAGAAGGTAACTGAGTTTTTGCCTTCTGCACATAGAATCTACCTAAGGAAGCTTCACCACACCCACCTTGTTTTCCAGCAAATTAAAGACTCTCTTGCACTGAGCTTTGAACACCCCCAAAAGCATATACCCAACCTTTGTGGCTATGAAAAAATTAACTCATAGAGCACCAATATCCTCAGGTCAATCTGGAAATACCCCTAGCGCAGCCACTCTAATCTCACAAGAACCAAAGAGGCAGAACATGGGCCTCAAGTAATCACTTGCAGTGGGAAACTGAAATCTAACCCCTGCCAATCTTCCCAGCTCTCTAAAAAGTTAGGCAATGATTCCATCCTAAGTGAAAATTTCCAAATGCACAGACTATGAATTCTTAATCCCCCAAAGCATAATTTCTTCTTTCTCTGTATTTAACCAAGCACAAAAGAATACCCTCAGTTCACAATCCCTCACATTCCAAATTTCAAGCTGATCCCTAAGGCCAGTAGAGATGGATACTATATTTATACTAAAGGAAATACAGCCCAGAGGCCTTGAGCTTTGTTTCCAGCTGTGTTCCCAGAATGGGGAGCGAAGAATTCAGTGAAGAAAACTGGGCTCTTCACGATCTGGTTCCATTTACCTCTCTGGCCTCACCTCCTGCTGCTCCTACCTTGAACTCTCCTTTCAGTGTCCACACGACCACCCTCTCCCTGACTTCTTTACGCTCTCCAGCTGGGAATATGCCTCCATCTTGCTCCTGTCCTTCACCTGCCTAACCCCTACTTATTCCTTAGGATGCTGCTAGAATATCACCTCCAGATTAAAGATATCACCTCTTTGCCTCCATTCCATTTCCCTCATCAAGCATTTGACACATACATCACTATAATATAACTCTCACCCCCTGGTACCATCCTTCCCCCTAACCCCAACAGAAAGCTCCATGAGGGCAGCAGCTGCATCTGCCTTGCCCACAGGTGCATTCCCTGTGCCTTTGACTGTGATTGGCATATATAAGGCACTCCGTAAACATTTACTGAATGAATGAGAGAGGTATCTAAAAGCAGGTCAGACAGGTAACTTTATGTTCTCACTCAGAATTCACTGGCCAGAAGTTTCTTCAGCTCAGAAATCTAGATTTATGTTGCTGCTAAGAATATGCAGATGAAGGAAATAGGATGTGTATTATTCACGGTGTAGCACCACAACCAGGAGGATGATCCACTAATAGCTCAACTGGTGAAAGGTCAGAAGCATCATATTGGATATTGTTGATTGATGTGTCTGTATGCATTTTTTATAGGTTTAGGGAAAGATTGTTTTGACTTGTTTTCTTTTGTTTATAAGTATTCCCATATTATTTTCTCCCTCTGATCAGTTACAGCTGGTTTTGTCCAGGGCAATTTTAAACATCTTGTAAAAATTCAACCACCACCATGACTTTAAAGAGGGATGAACATACCAAAATGAATGTGGTCCCCAGACAAATCATCACAGCCCTTTGTCATTAAAATCAAAGTAGATACTATAATGTTGGGAGAACCTCAACAAGCCACAGGGAGAAGTAATAGGGAAAAGCATGAAATAAGCCCTTTTTCTTTAGATTTGAGGCTGTTTCCCCACAGGCAGAACCAGTCTGGCTGAATTAAAATCTATGCTCCACTGTGTTTGCTTTGTCATTCCAACCAGGCTACAGGTAATGGGGACATTCCTCTCTCTCCTTCAAATAACACCATGAACAGCACCATTCAATGTTCCGATTGTCTCTCAGAAGCCTGCCTTCACCCTGGGTCTAAAACTCTCTTAAATTAGTTACCACACTCCACTTGGCATTAAAGACATCTGTCCCTTCAAATAGTTGTGAACTCCTAGAGCCTGAAATGGGACCATTTCCTTCTACCTGTGTCCATAACACCAGGCCACTGGTACATTTCATGTATGTGTGTCTTGATCTTATCTTTTGGTGGTGGGGGAAAGCAGTGTCAAAGAGGATTGGAATGTTGAACATTTAATTAGAGTTCACTAAATATTTTTGATTGTCTAATTGATGTTAAATTTCATGAAATCAACAGTGTGTGCATTTCATTATTTCCCCCCACAATCTTGTGCCAGTTTTGTCACTGTAGCTTGAGTGTTTTTAAATACTTATTGAATTGCTTCAAAATTCCATTAACTTTTGCTTTTTATCTAGCATGCTTATTCTTTTAATCCATGAAATTTGACTAATGGAAATTGATTTCTTTCTCCTAGGTGTCATTTTCTTCCCACATCTAACCCACATCCTTTGTTGCTAAGCTCATACGGTTTCTGATGCAGTCATTTCTGGTGTTAGGTTTGTAAATGAAGCTTTTATTTCTTATATTTGAAGAATATTGCTTTGTTATCTTTCTAGGGGCAATCGATAGTTACATTCCATTCTTATAGAAGTTTGGAATTTTCACTTTTAGCATTTATTGCAATGATCTAAAAAACTTTCATCATGTAAAATAGGTTTAGTACTAGTCTATGGGCAGATATCTTAGTTATGCTTACTTTTATTCACTCTTACCTGCTATTAACTAGCTGTGTAACCTTAGGCAAACCACTAGACCTCTCTGAGCTTCAGTTCCCTCATCTGTCCCTGAGTTACAGGGTTGTAGGAAAATTTATGTAAAAAAAAAAAATGATTGAAAATGTTCTAGGAATTTGTCTGCTGCAGAATAGAGGGTTAAATAAGGGTCCAGTATCTTACTTAATCATCTTCCCAGAAAATCTCCTTTCTCTTTCTAGTCTATATACCCTAAGGACCTTGCCATCAGACTAATTAATAGTACTTTAATAGAGTTCTTTTAGAAGGAGACTTTGAAGGCCTGGAAAAAAAGTAATATTCAAAGAAAATAAATTGGGTGCAAGAAGAGAAGTGGTAGGGAAGAATTCAGGGACCAGAAGTATCACATGGTCCCATCAGACAGCATTGCATTGGGCTGTGGTTTCTGAATTCATCCAAAAATTTGTCTTCTGGGCTTATTCTTAACAACCAAACAAAAAGAGAACAAAACGTTGAGTTTTTCAGGATATTTGAAATTAGCTGAGTCACTTGGGAACAGTGTAGCCCTCTGAACTTTGACACTGGGTTCCACATCACTCTGATGAGAAGAGAAGAAAACAAGATAAAAAAACCTAAAATCTTTAAAAGTTAAGGTCGTCTGGAGTCTCTGAACCAGGAGTCTTACTGGCAATCGGCACATTACTCTTCCTCATGTCTGTAACACTTTGTAATGGTTACTGTGACATTCATCAACAAAATCAAATGATGGGTATGGTCAGGTGTACCTTACAGCTTTCCAATTCTCCTGTAAGGTGGGGATTTTCTATGAGAATCTTCAAAACACTTCTTAGGTTTATTAAGTGTCACTTCTGCTGCTCAGCAGTAATTAAACTGAAAGGAAAATGTCAAGAATGATAAATTACTATCACAGGTATATTCTTTCTTTTCTTTTCAGAAGCTAGTCAGCCCTGTGTCATGAGATTCAAAAATGTTAACTTGGAGGATATTGAAGAAGAAAGTCTTCCTGGTATATTATTTTAAATAAATGATGCTGCAAACTCATGTAAATTTTAAGGTATATGATTTAGATGTAATCTGTGGTGGTATGAATACTCCATGTTTATTCAATTTCACTAAGAGCTACTTGATCCTGCAGAACAGACTTCTATGCCTGAAACAGGCATGTGTGACCCAGTTTGCTATGTTACTAAGAGGAAATAACCTCATGTTTCAATATTCATCATTGGGAATGGAGTGAACATTAATTAATGATTTTTCTCAATCAAGCCCGTCATTATCAAAGACATAAATTTCCCAAGTTCCTTGCATTTCCATTGACTCCAAATAGAGCCTTGGGGATCATGAGGAACATCATTAAAAGCCAATTACTTTTCTGAGCATCATTTTTCAGATTATAAGTCTCATTATGTGAGATAATCAAATTTTCAGCCTCTTTTTCAAACAAATAGAAGTTAAGATAATAAGTAGGATGGAGGTATAGAGCAATTTGAAGACCCCAACAATTGATTAGTTTTGGATGATGATATCCAATTGCAATGAGAGAATGTGTAAAATCTAGAAACAGAATTTTCAAATCAGCAGTGCTAATGAGAATGTATCCATCTTTCTCACAGACAAGTTGTATCTCTGGATTGTAGTGAGACCCATCACTGCCTCACTCCCAGCCCAAACTACCTTCCTTTGATTCCTGCAAATTAGCTGAGAGGACAGAAAAGCCTACAGGGACACATATTTTCTGAGAAGCATAGACCCCATGTGTGGAGATTTGTATGTGGAACCCAATGCAGAGAAGCCTTGACAACAGTGTACTCGAGGATTTTGGTATTTGGAGGTACTTTATAGATCAAAGACTCAAAAGAATTAGGTAGTGAGAAAAAAAGTTTTATTTTCTTCATAGGAGAGTACTCTACTGGAAGAATGTCTTCTAGATACTGAGAATTGTGATGGTAACTATGCACATGGTAGCACTTGGAACAATTTGAGTATCAGCCAAATTAGCCAGTTAAGGACAATGTCCCCCACCCACATGATCAGTTGGAAGAATTTAAGATTAAACAGCTCTCACTCTGAGGATAAACAAAGAGGAAAAATCCAACTGATGAACTATAAGAAGGGATTTCAAAGAAAGAAAAATGAACCAAGATTTTTAAGATTCAAAATATTCAGACTCTTGTATTGGCTGTGGTAACTATGTGATACTGACCAACTGATTGACTGGTTTAAATTAGTAATTATTTAAAGCAAATATAAGCCAAAGCATTTCCAGATGTAAATTCATATACCTAGTACAATGAATCTGAAATAAACATAACATGTTTAAAAAAAATGTCCAGCCAGGCATTGTGGCACACACCCATAATCCCAGCAACGTGGGATGCTGAGGTAGGAGGACATCAAGTTTAAAGCCAGCCTCAGCAACTTAGTGAGATCCTTTCTCAAAAAAAAAAAAAAAAAAAATTAAAAAGGGCTGGGGATGTGGCTCAGTGGTTAAGCACCACTAGGTTAAATTTCCAGTATAAAAAAAAATAAAAAAAATGAGCAAAGAATGTTCATCACAGTCACAGCATTAAACCAAACTACATTATAATTAAGTTGCTAAAAATCCAGTGATTAAGAAACATAAGTCTTGACAGGTGCGGAGGCACGTGCCTGCAATCCCAGCAACTAGGGAGGCTAAGCCAGGGGGACTGCAAGTTCAAAGCCAGCCTCAGCAATTTAGCAAGGCCCTAAGCAACTCAGTGAAACCATGACTCAAAATAAAATGCTTTTTTTTTTAAAAAAAAAAAAAAAAAAGGCAAGGGAATGTGGGAATGTTGCTCAGTGGTTAAGCTCCCCTGGGTTCAATCCCCAGTCTCTAAGTCTTAAAAACACCCAGATGAGGTGCATGACATTCCTACAAAGGAACAACAACAAAACCTCTCTAAGATTTCTTGTAGGAATTCATGAAATCTAGAAGACAATGGAATGACATGTTTAAATGAGAAGAGGGGAATCAGAGTCAACCTAGATTCTGTATCCAGTAAAAAAAATTCTTCAAAAAATTCTTCCAAAAAAAGACAAAATAAGAACTTCATAAGAGAATATCAAAGAATTTGTCAGCAGCACACCCACACTAAAAAGGAATATTAAAGGAAGTTCTACAAGTATCAGGAAAATGATGCCAGATTGAAATTCTACACAAAAGAATGGAGAGTTCCAGAAGTGGTAAATATGCAAATCACAATAAAATTGTTTTCTCATTTATTAATTTTTTAGTGCTTAAAGCAAAGTAACAATAATGTACTGTAAGGTTTGGGATCTATGTAGAAATAAAATAGGCCCATTAGAGCCCAAAGGATGGAAAAGGGATAATGAAATTTTCCTGCTGTCTTACATTTCATGTGAAGTCATGTAATATTATTTAATGGTAGATACTTATAAGTTTAAAACTAGGTACTATAAACCATAGAGTAACCACTTAAAATAGGAGAATAGCTAATAAACTAATAGTTGACATACTAAAAATTGACTAATATAAAACAAAGAACATAAAAGGAGCATGAAGAAATGAGACAAATAGAAAACAAGTAGAAAAAAATGTTAAGAGGTGAGGGACTGTAGGTGTGGAGAGAGGATGAAGCTGGTGGTCCTTCCTACAGGAACAGCAATGATAACACTGAAGATATTTCATTGTTTGATGCAGAAGAAGAGACAACTAATAGACTAAGAAAGTCCAAAGTCAGACATCCAGTGGCATCATTTTTCCATGTGTTCTTCCAAGTCAGTGACATTATAGTCTATCCTCTCTGTGAATGGCTCAGCAGCAGCTTTATTGCCTGTACAGTGACAATTTTCTCATTGTCTTGTGACTTTTGGGCAGTGAAGAATGTCACAGGTAGACTGATGGTTTTCCTTTGGTGGTGGAATCATACTGATGAGTATGGAAAGAGTCATTGGGTGTTTGAGCTAAGGAAGTCATCTCCTCAAGAAAATAAAACTGAATCAAGAACCTTTGGTTAGGACTGGCTGCCTGTCCAGTGCTGTGGTGGGTATTTGCCTATAGTGCTTTCTTCCTTTTCAGAGTGAAGTGGATGGCTGTGGTTACCATGGTTGTGGTACAACAAGGTGCCAACCTGTATGATTACATCAGGTGCAAAGTGGGTAGCCATAAGAATTGAACAAGTATGGCTACCCTGTATCTTGGAAAGCAGTTTTTAAAACAAAACACCAGAGTTGGTCAGAATTCTTGAATAGAAAGCAAGCTTATGTACTCCGTGACATTGGGGAATGACTGATGATATTCTTGTTTATGAATTGTTTGGAGCTCAGTCCAGTTAAAATGAGGAGTATTGGGTTGGTTTGTTTGGTTTGCTTTTTTCACTTAAAAAGTAGTATGAAAACTGGTTTGCTTGTTTTTTTTTTTTTTTAATAATGTTTTAATTTTCTTTCTCTTGTAGTTGGGGCTGGGAAGTATGCTGTCTCTATAAACATTGTCAGAATTTATTTTATGGTGAACGTATGTAAGCAAATAGTAATGTATCAGTATATCCCAAATTAATGGATTCATTTACATGTGTTACAGAGATATTTGCATTTTGATCCATAGAACATAGGATGTTTCTAGTCTATGTCAAAGGTCTATGTGTTTATACATTATTTCTGTAGGTTATTTTCAGAAATAAGTTGATCCCATTGTTAACAGTGAGCACTTGGCTTGGGTATGAGTTAGGCTAGTAGTATTAACTGTTTCTAAAACTTTCTTTTATCTTTATACTGAAGCAACTCATTTACTTAAGGAATAAATAATATAAATGGAATCTTCTTAGTTTATATTTAAGGGCTACACAAGGATTGCTGCTATTCTATTTATTTCATGGAAAGGATAGCCAGATTTTATTTTGGAACTTCCTAGAAATTCTTCAGTGCTCTTTTGGCTACTAAAAATCTTATATTACTAAATGAATATTATTCTTATATCATAGTAAGAATAATCATTTAAATAATTGGCATAATAAATGCCTAAAAGACATTTTATGAATCTAATTTTTCTTGCTATAATGGGGATATTATAAATAATACATTTGTATTAATAATGTTTCTTTAAAAGGGCAATATATATAATGCAAATTAAAACAATCTACAAACTGTTGTAGGCACCTGTAAATTCTGTTGTAGGTACTATAAACTTTGTTGGTATCTTTTTTGGTGGGGGAGTAGGGGAGGAGCACTCAACCACATCCCCAGCCCTATTTTTGTATTTTATTTAAAGACAGGGTCTCACTGAGGTGCTTAGCACCTTGCTTTTGCTGAGGCTGGCTTTGAACTCAGGATCTTCTTGCCTCAGCCTCCCAAGCTGCTGGGATTACAGGTGTGCGCCACTACGCCCTCCCGGTTGGAGTCTTTTTTTTTTTTTTCCCCCATAAAATGGCCTTTTTTTTTTAAGGGAGAGAGAGAGAGAGAGAGAAGAGAGAGAGAGAGAGAGAGAGAGAGAGAGAGAGTTTTAATATTTATTTTTTAGTTTTTGGCAGACACAACATCTTTGTTTGTATGTAGTGCTGAGGATCGAACCCGGGCCGCACGCATGTCAGGTGAACGCGCTACCACTTGAGCCACATCCCCAGCCCTTGTTGGAGTCTTTTAATCAATAGATTACGTTGTGAATTGTATCTGTACATTGTTAAAATATTTTAAAGACGTTTTGTTTTAGTTGAATAAATGTCTTTGTGAGTGATAGCTTGGAAGGTGCACAACTTTACATATGTATAAAACTCTATTGTTTACCAAGTGATGGGGTAGCCAGTGTCCCAGAAGAAGAAGTTCCTGCTACGAGGTGTAAGCTGCCTGGAAAAATTAAAAGGTCTAAAATAATTTATAAGAAATAAAGACAAAGCCAGAAATTAGATTTGGGAAACATGGCGTTTGATGGATATTCCAGCCCTGATAGAAACTGGAACTGAATGACTGAAAAAGGCCCCAATTTTTTATTTAAGAGGAAGTTCATCAAACAGGCAGAAGGTTTCAGTGTGGGAGGGGTTTTGTTTCAGTGCTTGGCAGGTTACTCGCACCTCCCAGAGGCTGTGAGCTGAGACAGGGTGCCCACATGAATTGGCCTTTCTTGAACCAGGGAATTTCAACGAGAAGTTCCCAGAAAAGCAGCTTTCCTGCCAAACCCATAATTCATCTATGGCTTCCAACAAAAAAAGTTAAGAATTATACTGGTGCCCCCAGGATTTGCTGCGTCACCTCAGGCCCTTAGGAATGAAGCCAACTGATCATGGATGGAAACCTCTGAAACTCTGAGTAAAACAAGCCTTTCCTTCTCTAAGTTGATTTTCTCAGGTATTTTTTCCACAACAACAAAAAAAATGAACACACAAAATTTGAGCTTATTCAAAATAGTCAAGCTAGGCAGTCAGGGAACAATCTCTCAAAGTCTTTTCTCTGGGAACTATAAGAAGGCTTCCTGGGCTTGCTAAATTCCGTGTAAAGAGTTCCAGGAATCAGAGCCTCGGGCGCTTTGCTCCCATCTGCTTCCTCTTTCGCTTCGCTCCAGGCAGAGAAGCTGAGTGTGTAATCAGCAGTGGAATGTAAGTACCCGAGGCAAAGAAAGCTCAGTGCGCCCCGCCTTTTTTTTTTCTTTTTTTCCTTTTTTTTTTTTTGAATATTTTTTATACAGGGAGAGTTTGTGGATTGGGATTGTTGGCGGGGCTGTGGTTTCTTCCACTCCGAGGGAGCCGCCATTTGCTTTCTGCTTGCTGTCTTGATGGCTCCGTATACATTGTCCGGCAGCCGCACCTAGAGGTTGGAGCTGGGCTGTGTGCCGAGCCCTGTCCTCCGAAGGCTGGACTGCAGCCTCGAGCTCCTCGGTGGCCTGTTCGCTGCTGCACCTTCGGGCAGAGCCTGCTCTGGGGTCATTCTGCACCCCCCTGCCAGGGGACCCGTGCTCCGGAGGAGGGGGATGGAGAGCCTCGGCGGCAGCCGCTTGGGCCCCAGGGGCCGGGCACCGGGCTGAAGAGCTGCGGAGGCCAGGGCGGCTCTGCTACGGTCGCACATGAGCGCAGCGCCCGTGAGCGCGGCCCAGAGACGGAGGCGACGGCGGCAGGGTTTCATTCCTAGAAATCTGGACTGGAAACAGAAGCAGCAGTTTGTATAATCCAAGAACTTGCTTATGCCAGGAAGCTGTAAGGGCAACATGAATATCACTGAGGAGATCTAACATGGTGGCAGGCGCAGAGAGATCAAGTCTCTGACATCTTCAACTGCGCGGGCATAGGGAGCCGTAAACTGTCTAAATGCTGTTTGCTCAGGATCACTAGGCAATGCTGAGCTGACGTGGATCTGGGGTGTACAGGCTGGGCCCCTCAGAGCACACACACAGAGCCCGAATCGGAGGCAATTAAGCTCCGGTTCGCCTGCTTCATGTGACTCAGCACTAACGATCCCACTGAAATAACTGGTTGGCCCTTAGGAACTTACAGAGGTAAAAGCCAACCGAGCCTTCATAGGCAGTGGCCACAGGACTGAAACGGGGATTGGGAGAGACAGTCAGGACCCACCCGTTGCATTGGTCACTCGGCAAAGGGAACGAACGGTCACCATTTGCATGGGAAACCACCATGGCAGAGAAATGGCGTCACGGGCGGAGGAGATAACTGCATTGAAACCAGCGCGACAAGTGTGTAATCCCCTAGTCATCTCTCTCCACACAGCAGGGAAAACTTAAGGGCCACTCCCAGCTCTCCTGTGAACGCAATAACCAGACCGAGGGAATCAGGAGTGGCGCGGGACACGCGGCGCGGAACTCCCGGCTACCGCTCCCACCAGTGCTGACAACTGAGGGCTCTTGCACCAGCTACCGGGGGCGTGGCTACAGGAGGGCAAGCAAATTCACTGGGAGATCTCAGCCCCAAGCTCTACAAACTTAGGGTCTGAGGAAGGCAAACAGGGAGAGTGAGCCCAGGTGTTCATGAAAACAGGGCTCCCAGGAGCAGCAGACCTGGCGTGTAGACAGTATTGTGGTGAGCACCACAGGTGAGCACGGCCTGGCTTGAGGAAACACAAGACAAGGCCCTAGACACTCAGGATTGGAGACCCGCCGAGTCTAGGAGAAAGAGCTGTGCACAGTGAATGGTTCCCACCTACTGAGAGGAGAAGCTTGGCCCAGTGGGCACAGCTCCACCTACTGGAAGAGAAGTTAATAGAACTCTAGGACTGCATTTATTATTATTATTATTATTATTATCATTTTTTTCTTTTTCTTTTTTTTCTTTTTTTCTTTTTTCCTTCTTTTTCTTTCATTTTCAATTTTTATTTGTTGATGTTCTTTTACTTTTTTTCAATGTTTCTATTTTTTAATTTTTAATTTTATTATTATTATTTTTAATTTTCATTTTCATTTTTTTATTATCATTATTATTTTTGTTAATTTTTTTTCTCGTCTTTTCTTTCTTTCTTTATTATCTAATCTTTGTTATTTTTGTTCCTTTTGTCTTTTCATTTCTTTTCAATTTTCTTATTCCCCCTTCCTTGAATTCTACCTGCCTACTCTCACTCTCTTTAGTGACTTCTTCCCTTCCCTTCTAATATCTTTCCGACCAAGCATCAAATAAATCTATAAGAGTAAACAGAAACTCAGCAGTCAAACAGAACAAGAAGTAACATGAGCAACATAAAAAAGCAAGGAAGAAAAGGAGTACAAACAATGAAGGACAGCCTAAATATTCAGGAGGACCTAGAGTCAGCAGAAAAATGGTCATATAAAGAACTCAAGGAATACCTTAGACAAATGGAATGGAACCTTAAAGAAGATACGAGACAGCAAATCCAAACAGTGAAAGAACACTTTGAAAATGAATTACATAAACAGATAAAAGAAGAAGTTAAGCATCTTTATCAGGAGATAGAGATTATAAAAAAAAAACCAAACAATAATTCTAGAAATGAAGGAAACGATAAACCAAATTAAAAACTCAATTGAGAGTATCACCAACACAGTGGAGCAAGTAGAAGCCAGAACATCA